CAAAATGACCAACTTGCTCAATAAGATGGAAGAAAATCGGATAAAAAGGCGAGAAAATGATTGAATAAGATAATGAGACATTCCTAAAGAACAGATAATATCCTTCCTCTCTTTGGTTGGTAGATGTAGGAACGGATTTTGAAATTTATGTGGGAGGGGGCAATAGGCCTTCTTATATCGGGAGGGGCAACATTAAAATTTTATAGGCACATAATTAAAAAAAACATAAAAATAGTTTATATAATACTATAATTTTTTTTTTTTTGCCCCCACTGACTATTGAATAGATGGAAGAGGAGGGAAGTTTTTAGAAGAGAAGGGACGGCAGAGATTACAAATATTAAGTTTATCTAATATTCATGAAGGGTAATATTGTAATTTAATACATATATATATATATTTATAACCACCTCGTTCCTCTTCCTTCCTCTCTATCATTCATAATTTTAAATTACAGTACAATCTTTCGTAAAATTTTGACAGAAGCCTTATAAAAAAGTCATTGCACAACTCTAAAGCGGCTCAATGGTATTTCCTCTCCTTTTTAGAAGTGAAAGGTAGAGAATTCGGTAAACATTGTAGGAGTTTCTTGCCCCAAAAAAAAAAAAAATAGTTTATGGATTGGGCCTAGAAGAAAAAATGGACTCGTAATATTGCTCGCATAATTAGAAAGATTTGGGCCTAAGCCCACTCGAGATTAATATAACTTACAGAAAAAAGAAAGGGTAAGGTCCAACCCAAGTGTATATATATACAAAGGTTGGCACAATATGTGACTTTGGTGAGAGGTGATTTACTTAGTAGTAGTAGTTACAATAACAGCAATCAAATGTCAAAATAGAAGAACAAATAACACTAAAATGTACTGTAACATCAATACGAAGTGTCGGTGAACCGACACATGACTAAATGTACGGATTTTGGACCAATTTGGCACACACGATGATCCATGCCCTAGCTTGAAGATGACTTACGAACACTGTGACTAGGATTCTCAGCCATGGAGGCCAAGAATTAATATGGTTTGGATGGAGACAGAATGCTGTGAAGCCTGTAATCTAACAAGTTTGATTGTGATGGATAATTCATTTGGTAGAATCATGAATGATAGTGAAAGGCTTTGGGCCCATTTCACAGGACCACTTGGCTCAATCATTTACATCTGAATTGATTTTGTGTGGCTTTCAAACCAATCCAAAATAGTCCTAAGTGGATAAATTTAGTTTCCGGATTTGTAAAATCCGTCCACCACGATAGTGACGGCCCTCTTAAAACACTCTACAATAGCAGTTTTGCATTGCGCAAGCACTTTTTTGGGGATGACTCCAAGGAAAACTCGAATTTCATCGATAATATTGTGCATCTTAAAGCACTCTATAACTACCAGCAAATATGTAGTCCCTCATCTCACATACTTTATATGGTTCTAAGAGGACTTGAATTCATAACCTTCAATTTGTGAAGTAAAGCCTCTTCACATTAGCTATTCCTTTCAGAGATCCAACTTTTTTAACTCTCTACAAACATAAAAAAACAATTTTTAGAGTTCTTTTAAAATTATTTTTCTAGTAACAAATCAAGCAGATTTTAAAGCATTAACGTTTACACATTTGTAAATTTAATCTTCTAAACTACTGTCACACCATGTGAAATCATCTATCATGCATGTAAATGTTGTCTACTTTATTTCATCTTTAGTTATTATTTTCCAATAGTGGTAGTAAGGTACATATAATGATCCTATGTCGCTGCACTCTCTGCACATGAGAAAACAGCCAAGAAAGACACTATTTTAATCAACAAAAAAGAACAATGCATGTGCATCGAAAGATACATATACAAACAAAAAGATGGAAAAGATTCATCTCCAACCATGCAATTAATATAATCCACATGGAGATACAATTTTTTATATCCAACTGATTAGCACTTAAGCAAACATTATGATTAAACATTATAGTTAGTACATTTCATTCATTATCTTATCTGTACCCTAATGATACTAATTGCAGAATGTCTCTAAGGGGGATGTGGACTGGTACCCACATGATCTATACATTCAAGTGGGCCAGAAAACAGAAAGATCTCTTGGCCCCACTTTGTAGATTTTGGGATCAAAACCCAATCTGTTGGTTTTTTACTCAAACTCTTGTCATTGGGATATAGTTTTTATCTATTTTATTATTGTGTGATTTGTGTTCAAGCTAGACAATGGAAGAACATTCTTAATATAAAAGTTTTAGATTACAATACCATCTTTTATAAATTGTAGATAAAGATGGATATGGTAATAAAAATAATTTAATTTTTATTATTCTTTTCCCTCCTAACGAATGTAGTAAGTCAGTTTATTATATTTTCTTCCATTTAACCGAATAAAAAAGAAATGACATAATTTTTTTATTAAGAATATCTCATTTTTTTTTTATTGTTTTATTATTTTTTTTTTTATATTCAATGGTATAAAATCAGTATGTTGAAATTAGAATTGAAAAAAAACATAGTCCATGTAATTTAACGAAAAACCAATTCCATGGTAACAAACATAGCAATCTATTTCTAGTGAACATCAACATGAACATGGGATTTAACAATATCCTTCTAATTTATTTAAATAAGTAGTTGAGCCAATTCTTTTATGAACAATTATGGAGCATCAATTACAATCAAATATGAATGTAAGAGAAACAGATAGGTAACCCAATACTTTTATGAACTATAATGCACCATCAACTCCAAACAAGTGTGTGTGTGAGTGTTAGTGTGTGTGTGTGTGAGAGAGAGAGAGAGCAGCACATGGTTAATAAGGGACAAACCATTGGTGTTGGGTGTTTCCACAAACGAAGCACTAGGTCAAAGAGGAAGCATACAAATTACAAACCATGTGACCGCCAGCTAATTAATCTCTTCATACTTTGCACCATTTTTGTAATACTAACAATTAAGAAAACAATCATTCAGTTCAGCCCTGGTGGTCAGGATGGGATCAAGTCCCATTAAGCCACTCTTCATGCATCAACAACCACCCATTCAAGATAATGGAGTAGTTTACCTCCTTTTATTTCATTAAAAAAAATAGTCTATAATATATATTTGATAATCCAACATCTGTATAGTGGATGTTTCTATCTGAAATTTAAAACAAACAAATTGAAAAAATCATTACATCTGGATGTTGTATCGCATTGGACGGACTAGTTCACACATGTGCCGCATCAAACGGATGCCAATTCATACATGTGTGTGAATTGAGATCCATCTAATGTGGTACGGATTGTAAAAGATCTAGTTTTTGGAATCGCAAATAATCTTGTTTTAATCATTTAAAAGGCAGGAAACATTTTGTCTACAACTTTTATTATTATTAGGAAAGGGGAAATAAAAAGCAGAAGGTTTACAGTCTTTAAAAATTAAAATGATTTGTAAAACAATGCAGTGAAAATAAAAACCACTGCATATATATAGAGGTGGTGGTGGTGGCAGCAATGGCATTAGTGGAATAATGGGATGAAACAAAGTTGACAATAACTAACCTGTCTTTCTTTCTACCAACCGCTCTCATTTTCTCTTCATCACAAGCCACTGTCTGCCTCCTCCACGTTGGTATAAAAGCTTGTGGACCTCACTCTACTCAGATCAGATCTTATGCAAAACATATAAATATTAGAAAATGAGAGACTGGGATCATTAGTTGGCTTGGTACAGAGTCTTGGTATCCACACCCCAATCTTCCTCCATGCATTTATGCGAACACTTGCAAAACATCAACATGTAACATTATTATTTCAATTATGCAACAACTTTATACCATTGTTTCAAACTCAATTATAGGAGTCAAAAAAGATTCGTGTTATTTGGACGAAAGTATTCTTTAACTTACCGCAATGCAATGCATATGTGGGATGCTTTGTTGAACACTTCGGTCCAAGAATCATTATTCGTCAATATGTATGTATGTATTTATATATATATATATTTGATGAAGTATCATCTGACCGCCTTCTAACTTTCATTAATCACAAATTCAAACAAACACTAGAAGTAAAATAGAAAAAAAATGGAGTTAAGTTCTAAACTCTATTTTAATGATCTAATTTTCTTGAAAGAGAAAGAAGTATGATAAAGATGAGTCCCAGTATGAAAGACATAATATTCCATTATCAATTTAATGGCAGAAGAAAAGGATCTAAAAAGTGTATTGGAGATGATCCAAATTTGTAGCGTGGAGGTGATTTTCCTTGGGATCAAGAAAGAGTCCTTGACTTAAAAGTATCACAGTAGAGACCACAAAGTCCTACAGATGGAGGGTTGAGGACACGTGCACCCTACATGGTTCCCTGCCTGCCTGAGAGATTAATTGTCATCTTAGGCAAGCATGATATATATCTGTTTTGGTATTTGATAATGTCATTATATAAATTGTCAATAAATTTTTATGTTAGCAATTCTCTTCCTTAGTTTATACTTAATCTAAATAATTTTATATAATTGGACAAAAATATCACATTGTTGACTGTTTATTCGAGGATAAAACAAATAATATATTAAAGAATAAGTAGTCTAATGGTAATCACACTCTTATTTTTCGAAAGAATAACAAATAATTTATCAAAGGTTCATCTGTACCACACTTTTACTTTCCAAAGGGATGACAAATAATTTATCAAATGGTTAGTGATTCAGTGCGGTAGGCCTTTACCTCCCGAAGAGAGATCATGTGTTCGAACCTCCGTAAAAAAAAGTATGTGTAAGTAAATTGTTTTACCTTCTTAAAAAAAAACACACACACACACACACAAATAATTTCTCCATGACTTAAACCCTAGTTTTTGGGACCCAACCCCATATTGATTGGCAGGTAGTAATTTAGTAAACCTTATGACCCAAAGAGAGACCCCTCCCCCATACAAGTGGGACAACTCCCCCCACCCTGACATGAGTAATTTACACGAGTCCTTCATGTTACCTGACTCAATTTCACATGGTTTCTGATCTCCTCTCATCCAATCACAAAATTACCAAAACACCCTGGTTCATTAGAACATAATGATAGTATTCAGAGGGCAGAACGGGCAACATAAAAGAAGTTGTGTACCAAAGGGTAAGGAATCGAATCAATAGCATTAATCTTCTAGGACGGTGGCAAGTGGCTTAGTTGGGGAGCTTCCACTCTGCTTCTTTATTTCTTCACTTGCAGGCTTTTTGCCAAAAAAACATCAGCAAAATGTCATAGTACACAATAAAACAGTAAGAAATTAAAGATCACTCTGTCACAAGATGAGGTACTAAGTTTTGTTCTATAATATAGACCAACGTAGTGTTAGATGGTTACTGATCATTGATCAAACAGATAGAGAGAGATCGATCTAACACATCATTTGTTGCTTTCTCTCTTGCTCTTATCATTTGTTTGATACAATGGTAGTTTAGAAGGTAGTGAAAGAGATGGGGAAGACAAGCAAGTGGATCAAGAACTTCTTGACAGGAAAGACAGACAAAGGAAAAGAAAAAGATAAGAAGACAAGCAATCAATCCACAACCACAACAATAAGTACTGAGAACCCAACAACTCCGATATCGATCCCACCGACGACACCCAAAGAGAAAAGGAGATGGAGTTTCCGGAGATCATCCGCCACGGCCACTGTTCAGAAGGACCCGAGCTCTGCAGACATCATTGCCACCGCACCACCGGCAGTGTTGGAACCAGAGAATGAGCATAAGAAACACGCAATGGCGGTGGCTGCAGCCACCGCAGCAGCTGCTGATGCAGCTGTGGCAGCAGCACAAGCGGCTGCAGCCGTGATCCGGCTGACTGCCGTCCACAATGGGAGAACTAGTGCAATTGAAGAGGCGGCTGCCATTAAGATTCAGTCCGTCTTTCGGTCATATTTGGTATGCTGTATATACATACCATGAATCAAATATAAACTTCCTGAAAATTTCAATATATTAAAAGAAAAAATCGAACTAAAGACTCGAGATGAATTTTTTGTGAAGATCTGTAAGTGGACTAATTGGTGGTGGTTGTTTACAGGCAAGAAAAGCACTGTGTGCATTGAGAGGGCTTGTGAAATTGCAGGCATTGGTAAGAGGTCACCTGGTGAGAAAACAGGCCACTACAACACTCCGGTGCATGCAGGCATTGGTGACGGTTCAGGCTAGAGCTCGGGCTCAGAGAATCAAGATGGTTGACGAGACAAACCCCAATAATCAGAGGCAATTCAATCAGAGAAAGATCGCACTAGACAATAGATTCAGGCAAACAGATTATGTAAGTTCCAATTTTTTTTCTTCCATATTTCCAATCTATAAAGTCTTCTTAGGCATCAAACTTGAATTTTCTGCAGCCTAGTGACATAAATAAAAGATGACTGCCAAATTACCCATCATCTCAAAATAAATAATAAACAATCATTTATTGTCATGCTTGGAAATTTCTGTTCAATTAAAACAAAGTTGAATAATTATTAAATATCCCAAAAGCTTTTGTATGAAAAAAGAAAAAAGAAAAAAAAAAGAGTGCTATGTAGAATCACCTTAAACTTTTTAATGGGAAAATGAATTATGCTCTTTGATATAAGCAGATGTAAATCTGTATATATACTCTATGGGCCTTTGTAAAATATGAGAAAAGTGGTAGAGAACTTATTTACCTGATATGAAATGCGCTTGAACAATGGTCTGCAATCTGGTCAATGTTGATGTAGGAGATGGATAGAGGCATGGAGGAGAACATCAAGATTGTGGAGATGGATCTAGGTGAATCGAAAGGAAGCACAAAGAGCAGGAATAGCGATTCAAACAACCCCCAAGAAGAACGAGCAGAGCATAGATTTTCCACCCATTATCGCGAATTCACGAAGCAAGACCATCAGCAGATCTCACCAGCTCCATCAGCACTGACCGAGATGAGCCCAAGAGCTTCTAGTGGGCATTTTGAGGAGTATTCATTCGGCACAGCACAGAGCAGCCCCCAATACCACTCTGCAGTGTCCAAACCCGATCCATCCAGAGTTCCTTTCGCTTTCCCCAGAGCAGAGTACTCTGAGTCCTTGTACAATGATTACCCATTCTATCCAAATTACATGGCTAATACAGAGTCATCAAAGGCAAAGTTGCGATCACATAGTGCACCAAAGCAGCGGCCAGATTCATTTGAAAGGCAACCAAGCAGGCGGAGACCATCCATAGAAGGAAGGAACGTTCCACGTGCTGTGAGGATGCAGCGATCATCTTCACACGTTGGTTCCACTGCTCAGAATTACCAGTATCCATGGTCAATCAAGCTTGACCGGTCTTCAGTTTCTCTTAAAGACAGTGAGTGCGGATCAACCAGTACAGTGCTCACCAATAGCAACTACTGCAGATCTCTAGTCGGATTTGATGTGAGTCGAATTAACCAAAAATTCGCAATGATTGAATACAAAACACCAGTTTGAGTGAGCAATAACAACATTGGCTTGTAGTAGCTATGTTTTCTCAGCATCTGATTCCATTATACCATTTCCTTTTGTGAGTGCAGGCTTATGGGAGTAGGTACTAAAAGTTCATAACTCCCCATCATTGTGATTGTGTGTGGCACAAAGTAGAAATAATTTCAGTGGCTAGACAACTGATAAGAGCTTCGAATGGGGTATGATTAATGGCCGTGAACTGTTTCGAAGTAGAAGCTGTCTGTCAAATATCTCTGACAATTTCTTTGTTCGTCATTCCAATGTCATTTCAAGGGAGAATTGTATTTGAGCTCCCAGGTTGTAGTTTTCTTTTTGTGTTTGATGTTTTCAAATACTTGGCCGCTGAAGCTTTGATGTGTTCTGAGGAACTGTAAGCATCACAAGTTGTTTATAGACATTTAGTGAATGTGAAATTTTAAACCCAGGAACGTTAGCATCCTTTAAGATATGATTCATCAGTTTGGTATCTGTCCATCCCCAAAATCATCCATTAATTTCTAGATTGATGTCTAGAGTTCTGTACATGTCATCTCAACCATTAGACTGAGGATAGGACGGGGAAGAATTTTATTTTTTTAGCGGCAATTCTCCCTATATATATTCCTTGATTTAGTTTCTTGTTACAAGGTTTATGGAGCTTCACTTGGTTGTGCAAAATTACTATATCGAAAAATAAGACAGTAATATCTTTTTGGAAGGCAAAGCCTAAAAGCAACAAATGCAAGGAATTCCAAAGGAAAGTACCAAGCAACACTTCCTGATGTTTTATCAAAAGGGTATGCTGCTAAAGTTCTGCTTGAACTCCAACACGATAATGGAGCAGCAGTGCTCAACTGGAAATCACCATTGAGTGGAGAAACATGGTCTTAAGAGTGTAAAGGCATGACTTGAAGGTTGCAACAAATATCAACTAACTGATTTTTTTACCTTGGCATGTAATTGAAATTTTTTCCCTAATTGGAAAGCTAAAATATTATTTGTTCCAACAACCTATGCTAGGAAAGACGAAACAAAGTGCAACGTAACAGAAAAAATGGTGAATAAGCACAAGGTGAGAGTAATATCATTAGCATAAATCCACTTCCAAGCACAAAAGAACAAACTTCTCTGTTATGCACCTTCCCAAGAACAGCATAGTAGTGATTTGAGCTGCTCATTTTGTCCAGGAGACCCCAAGACATGAACTTCACATCCCAGATCAAGGCACCTCCACAAAATTCATGAAGACCATAGCATGTATACTTGATTACAGTTACATAGCTGAAAACGCTAATGCAATCACACAAACGGGAGGAGGAAAAAAAAAAAATTGAAGAAAGAACGAACGAATGAACTTGACAGAATCTTTGCATCAACTTCAAGGACGAGTACATGCATGGACTCCTAAGTATTTTCTTGCAATTGTTTAGCACGCCTTTATCACAATATTGCACACCCGCTCTTCAACACTACATTGGGCAGATGCACACTCTGTTCTTTCAAAAGTACAGGCCTCCTATTTTAACTTGCAGCCATTGATATTTGATGTATTCCAACCAAGACAAAGAAATCACTGGGAATGAGGCTATGTTTACTTGAGTAGACGTGGGAGCAATTCATGGGCGGTAATGTCCAAAACAACTGGATCCCTGAAAAATATGAAATATGGACATTCAGGCTCAGTGTGTTTGACTGGAGTTTATGATATAAATTAAGTAATCTAGCAGTAACATTCCGTAAGCACTGTATGAATTTAATATCGCTAATGTTTGCATAACGTGAGATTAAAATGCCAGCTATAATTCAGTTAAATTGGAGGGAAGAAAAACTTGGAAAGAATACAACATCCCAATAATTAATTAACACAATTCACTAAGACCAGATAATAACATATTCCAGAATATCTTACACAGTCACTTGCAGTATTTAGATTTTTGGACAGCTATTAGAAACTCTTCAAAATGTCATTGATGAAAAGAAGTGATTTGTTAAAGTACACATGGCATCAATCTAATTTGGATTATGACATATGCATGTGCAGTTAAAATAAATTTTCATCTTTTGCACTTATATTAAATTTATATAATGCTAGAATCGAGATAATTTCTAATGGCATGATTTTGATAAAAGTGTGCGTGTATTTTAGAAAGAGAGAGAGACCTGCACAACGTCTGACCCTTTTCAGTGGAACTCGGAATAAACCATAGTTTTCGCAGGGAAGGAGATTCAAATTGAACAAAGAATCCATCATTTTGTCCATGCTTCCATTTTCGTGATCCTTGACCTTTCCAGACCTGCAGGATCAGACACCATTAAATTTGCAATGAAAATCATCTCACGAGATCTTCCCTCATCCTTAAAGGTGCCACAGCTTCCTTCTCACAAGTGTACTTATAACTTAAATCTATTATTTTTCTTTCTTTACTTTTTTATGGCAACTTGTCAATCTTAATATGACTGCCCATCTTGTCAAGAATAATGTTAAGGCATTACACATACCTGTGGGTAAGATATAATACTTTTGGGTGCCACTAAGCAAGCTGCCCCGGAGAAAGAATCCTCTACATATTGCCTCAGAAATGAAACACAATTGCTGTGTGTGTGGGGTGATTCAAATGCCTGGCATGAGCAAGGAAATAAATGTCAGCAAAAGACTATGATGTCATGGAATCTGAGGTTGATTGACCAAAAAAAAACACACGTATGTCGAACAAGAAAAAACCAAAAATAGAAAACCATATGGACAAGAGAGATAACTTTAGAAAGTCAATGAGCATAATAGTTGGAGATGAAACCAGTAAAGTCATAAGGTTTAATACCTTATCGATATTAACAACTGGGGCATATTTATCAGTTTCTGTCCTTTCCTTATCAAGAAGAAAATAAACTCTAGCATCCACTTTAGAAGTTTCATGCCATGACTTTACAGCTGCCTCCATTGTTTCAACAAGGAAAGAGAAAATTTCTTTCCAACACTCTTCAGCTCCATAGTTTTCAGACTGCAAAAAAGAGACTAACTTAATCTTCCTCATTGGGAATTCTAAGAAAGATTCCACCTACAAATGGCACTGTAAGGTTCAGGGAAATATAGTTGCAAATGTTATACGCAGTCTCTTACCTACACCACAATGCTCATAGAATTACGAGACCCTTTAGATAAAAATAAACGATAAGCATCCACATGTGAGCAGAGCAATCAGAAATTTAACCAGAACACACAGAGCAAATGTTGTGTAATCAAATATATAAAACGACAAGTAAGGATATAAACATAAGGAAATCATTACACTTATTTGCATCAAAAAATTCATAGAATTACATAACCCAAAAAAGCGAAAAAGTAAAAGACAAATAAAAGTAAACATCCATAAGCGAGATGAGCGCTGAAATATATAAGCACTACACTCTGGCAAATGTATCTAATAACCTGAATATGACAGAACTTATAAAAGCATATGTAAAGAAATCATTACTCTTTTTTTTTTTTTTTGATAAGTAAGAAATCATTACTCTTTACCCATGACAAATTACACTCACAAGTTCAGATATCAAAATATCCAAGTGTTTTGTCATATCAACATTGGACCTCATGTTTTCCACTTCTTGAGCTCGCTTTTTATCTCTTGCCAACTGTGAAAGCCTCTTAATTTTTTTTGATACCTCTGAACTTTGTGGGTTGTGCTGCAAAGCTCTTTCAAAGGCAGCTAGGGCCTACATCATGTTATAGTAAATATCAGCGCCAGAAAACGTGTTCTTGTCCAAAAGGCAGTTAAACAAAATGAAAGAACTTCTATTCTTACATCATCATATTGTTCCATGGCCTCCAATACGCAACCTTTCCTAAAATAACCCTGCAGGTGCAATCAATGGCATCTTTTACAAAAGAGTCACGGAACATGAAACATTTTATAAATTAAAGGAGCCATATACCTTTTCCCAGTCGGGCTTTAAAGTGATCGTTGTCTCAGCATCAGCAAGTGCTTTGTTGAGTTTAACTAGATGCAGAAATGCAGCAGCACGGTTACTGGCAGATAACAAATAGAAGAATGATAGAGTCAAATTAAATGCACAAACAGGTATACATAACATATCAAGACACCAAAAAGATATATATAGATAAAAATAGAACATGAGAGAGAATCTGAACACATCTCTGCAATCTAAATTACATAAAACATAATTGATTAAATAGAAAATTTCAATCAATACATGGTGTTTCAGTGATGGTATGCATAGCATGCCCTTTTTCACAATTAATCTAGCACAATTTGCAAGTATTCTGACTCAAGAAAAGGAAATAAAAACCAAGATTAATATTTAATAAAGGTGGAGAAGAAATTGCAAAAAGAAAAAAATTCCAAAAAGTTGAAGTTGTTAGGAGCCAATAGGTAATCCACACAACTTTGCAGGCAATACATGCGTAACAATTGTCAAGTGTACAAGTAAAAGAGTAAACATTTAAGAGTAACACCATACATCCTCATCATTATTATCATACCATATGGTGAATTAGCATTGATGGGAGAGGTAATAGTTTGGTTGATAATAAAGCAACAGATTCACTCCTCCATTAAGTCATTAACGGTAAACAGTGGTCAATTATGATTTTTGCTAATGTCAACAATTTGAAATTTCAAAATACCAAATTTGCCATTCTAAAATTGTTTTATTGAATTAAAATACAAATCTAGATTTAATGGACAAAATAGTAAAATTTCTAATTTAAAGGAGGCCAGTGTTTAAAACAAGTGGGGATGTCCATGTAACTATAACAAACCTTGGAAAAGTCAATGTAATTTACCTTGGTAATACGGGTGTGATGATGATTTAGTACTTAACACTCCTAAGAAAAATAAACTATCCCAAAAATTATCAGTGGGAGAATCACAAATTCAACATACCTGTTTACTTTCACCAACACAGAGTTTTGTTCAGGGAAAAAAAAAATTCCTGGTTGTATCTAATTCAAGCTTCATAAATTGCAACATATATATATATAGTCATCCTCATCTTCATCTTCATCCTTGCCTCGATCATATTCGAATGGGCATGGCCATTGCAAAACAGTGATACGAACACCAAACTACCCGATAGGAGTTCATTGGTTAAATAGCTAACTAGCACTAACCAGCGTTATGCATGTGTTTAAATGTGTAAGCAACCACTTTCTTGTCTATGCCTATGTACATTTGCATTAAGCACATTAAATTGTTAGATAAATTAAAATCCAAAAGCTAGGAACTTCCACTAAATTTCTAAACACAATAGATCCACCATCAACATTACCAATTAATTTGCTTGAAAGTAAGATGCCAATTATGCCATACTCCTTTTAATTCACTTTTTTCCAAAAACTTCTTAGGAGATACTATTTGGATTGTTTCAATTCTTTCTTGTATCATTCTCTCTTTTCCTACAACATATTTAAATCAAATGTTCTTCAAAGCTTCAAAATTACCAGTTTACACTTTCTTGCAGACAAACAAAGGGGAAAGACAACTTCCAAAAATTAAGGTAAATCCAACCTTTTTTCAATTAGGACCTGAAACATACCGTATGACCTGACTGTATATATATATATATATATATATATATATATATATATAAACATGCATACACACGCATAAATATGTATATACCTGTAAAGAGTAGGGTTAGAGGGATCCTTCTTGATGGCCTGAGTGTAGAGAGCAGCAGCTTTGAGATAGTTTCCAGATTTGAAGAATTCATTTCCCTGATCTTTCAACGAAACTTCTGATTCCGCCATTTTCATTCAAACTCTACGATGTTCCTTTAGGTTTATGGGTTTTGTTAGATTAGGGTTTCTGAGAGTAGGTTTGGGGTCTTGGTTCTGGAGTGAGAATGGCGGGTTGAGGAGTGGTTTTTCTTGCCCTAGGCCCGAATCCGAGTATTTGTCTTGAATTATTGGAATAATCTTAAAACACCCCGAATATTATTTATTTTTCAAATCAGCTCTTCTCTCGAAGATATATATATATATATATATATATTTAAAAAATAATTTAAATTTTAATAAATTTAAGATAAATTTTGTAAAAAGAATTTAGTATGGTTAAATATTTAGCAATCATCATAACAAAACTCTGTTAAAATATAAAATTATCACAAAAAATAAAGAAAACAAAATTTATTTATATATTAATTATTAATCAAAAAAAAATTAAGACGGTAGATTTTAAACTCCCTTGTCAAATTCACCCTTAACAACCCTTAATAGAATTGTGCTCCAGAGGATTCTATGCCTTGTATTGCTAGTGTAACACAGGGCATGCTCGTGCAACACCATGCCTTGGTCTAGATATAAAAATAACATTTTATCAAAGGTTTTTTTTTTGGTTAAAAACATTTTATCAAAGGTTGTTTCAAAAGAACATTTGTAGAATATAGCTCATTCCAAAGAAAATGCCACTTTTTGCTTTCTTTATTTTCAAATAAAATGTGTAAAAAAAATTTCCACGGTGTCTTGTGATAAATAAGAATGCATTTGTTTAATTGATTCCGAAGTTCAAATTGGGAGAAGAAATTTTGAGTTTACAACAATTCATTCAAGTGCATTTTTAATGAATGACTTGCAAGCAATTTTAATTGAAAAATCATATTTCTCATTTTTAGAAATTTTAAAATGGAAACTAAGATAAAAACAATAAAGAATGAAAACTGCATAAACAAGTTCTAAATCACATGTCCATAATATTGATTCCAGAGTTCAAATTCCAATAAATAAGAACACATTTGTTTTATGTAATTTCTTGGACAAAAATGAAAATTAGCGCATGCTGAACAATCCATTACGTAGAATAGAATTAAAGAATGCCAACCTTTGATAATTTTGTCATCGTCCAATTGTTCTCAAATGGGTCCTTTCAACGATGTAAAATATCACAATGATAAAAGAATCAATTAAAAAAGATCCTCTAATTAGAATTAGGAATTTGTGGGTTCCTTTAGGAACAGCTCTTCCAATTTCATCAATTATCCATTAATATTGAACTTTAAGTCTAACACCATACTAACATTCTAATTTACCTCTGGGGAAATCTCTGCAAGTATAGTTTGCCCCAATGATTGAAACTAGCCATATTAACTTTGTCACCCATAATTTCATCTTAGAAAAATACAACTTAAGTCAATTCCTCAAACCCATTTGAATATGATTGAAACTAACCATATTAATTTCGTCAACCATAATTTCACCTGAAAATGTTTTTTACAAATCCATTTGTACTACATCAAATGTATAAAAACCCCTTCATTTAGACTTCTCGATCGGTCTAAATAGCATTGCTCTTCACCTTAACTTCAATAGATAGGCTCTTAGGCTGCACCTTCAGGTACCATCTCATTTCGAAGCACAAAAGTTGGCCTACCAATTGCAATTTTAATTCACAGGGCTAGTGAAGTACATTCTTGCAATTATTTAGTGCCCTTCTCGCATATTGCAAACCTATATTTCAAAAGTATAGGCCATTTATTTTTTCTGCTTGCAGCCGTTGATCTTTGATGGATTCCAAGTTTCCAACCAAGACAAAGAAACCACTACTGACGGGAGTACGTTTGCTTCAACAGACGAGGGAACAGTTCATAGTCAGTAATGTCCAAAACCACTGGATCCCTGAAAAATATGAAATATGGACATTCAGGCTCTATGTTCAATGGGGTTTATGATAATATAATTTGAGTAATCTAGCAGTGATGATCATAACCACTGTATCTTTCAGACCGCTTAGATCACTAGTGTTTGCATAAAAGGCCAGCCTTAATTAGGTTAAATTGGAGCGAAAAAGAAAATTAAGAAAAAAAATTCCAACAATAAACTACCAGAATTGACCAGGGCTAGATAATACTAACATATTTCAGAATAGCTTACACAGTCAATTGCAGGAATTAGAATTTTTAGAAACTATTAGAATTCTTCAAAATGTCATTGATCAAATCAAGTGATTAATTAGACAGTACAGAAGTTATCAATCTAATTTGGATTATGATATATATATATGTGTGTGTGTGTGTGTGTGTGTGTGTGCATGTCCCGCATTTAATTTAATTTGTTTCCATATTTTGCACTAATTAATAATAAAAGTCTATAATGCTAGAATCGAGATCATTTCTAATGGCATAATTTGGATAAATTTATGTGCGCGCGTGTATGAGAGAGATTGACCTGCACAACATCTGACCCTTATAAGTGGAACTCGGAAAAAACCATAGTTTTCGCAGGGGAGGAGATTCAAATTGAACAAAGAATCCATCATTTTGTCCATGCCACTTTCGCGATCCTTCACCATTCCAAATCTGCAGAATCATACACCATAAAAATTCCCACTGAATATCATCTCACAAGATCTGCCCTTGTCCTTAAATGGTGCCACAGCTTGCTTCTCACAAGTGTACTTATTACTTCTTCTTTTTTTCTTTTTCCTTTTATTTATTTTTTTATATATTTCAAATTGTCAATCTTAATACGACTTGTCAAGAATAATGTAAAGACATTATTCATACCTGCGGGTAAGAGATCATACTTTTGGGTGCCACTACGCAAGCTGCTCTGGAGGAAGATTCCTCAGCATATTCCCTCAGAAGAAAATAATGATCCTTGTGCATGTGAGGTGATGAAAATGCCTGGCATGATCGAAAAAAAATGTCAGCAACAGATAATGATATCATGGAATCTGAGGTTGACTGACCAAAGAAATTATGTATGCTAGACAAGAAAGGAACATTTACAAAACCATGTAAACAAGAGAAACAAACTTATATAAATCAATGAGCATAATAATATGAGATGAAACCAGTAAAGTTAGAAGGTTTAACACCTTCTTGATATTAACAATTGGAGAATATTGATGGTAAAGTCAGAAGTCAATGAGAATAATAGTTGGAGTTGAAACCAGTAAAGTCAGAAGGTTTAATACCTTGTCGATTTTAGTAACTGGGGCATATTTATCAGTGTCTGTCCTTTTCTTATCAAGAAGAAAATAAACTCTAGCATTCACTTTAGAAGTTTCATGCCATGACTTTACAGCTGCCTCCATTGTTTCAACAAGGAAAGAGAAAAAAATTTTCCAACACTCTTCAGCTCCATAGTTTTCAGACTGCAAAAAAGAGACTAACTTAATCTTCCTGATTGGGAATTCTAAGAACGATTCCACCTACAAATGGCACTATAAGGTTCAGGGAAATATAGCTGCAAATGTTATATGCAATCTCTTACCTACACCACAATGCTCAGAATTACGAGACCCTTTAGATATAGAAAGAAAATAAAAATAAACGATAAGCATCTACATGTGAGCTGAGCAATCAGAAATTCAAACAGAGCACACAGAGCAAATGTTTTGTGTAATCAAATATATAAAACAACAAGTAAGGATATAAACATAAGGAAATCATTACTCTTATTTGCATTAAAAAAATCATAGAATTACATAACCCTACAAAACAAAAAAGGAAAAGACAAATAAAAGTAAACATCCATAAGCGAGATGAGCGCTGAAATATATAAGCACCACACTCTAGCAAATGTATTTAACAACCCAAAAATGACAGAATTTATAAAAGCATATGTAAAGAAATCATTACTCTTTACCCATGACAAATTCCACTCACAAGTTCAGATTTCAATATATCCAAGTGTTTTGTCATATCAACATTGGACCTCATGTTCTCCACTTCTTGAGCTCGCTTTTTATCTCTTGCCAACTGTGAAAGCCTCTTAATTTTTTCTGGTACCTCTGAAATTTGTGGGTTGTGCTGCAAAGCTCTTTCAAAGGCAGCTAGGGCCTTCATCATGTTATAGTAAATATCAGCACCAGAAAACATGTTCTTGTCCAAAAGGCATTTAAACAAAATGAAAGAACTTCTATTCTTACATCATCATATTGTTCCATGGCCTCCAATATGCAACCTTTCCTAAAATAACCCTGCAGGTGCAATCAATGGCATCTTTTACAAAAGAGTCACGGAACATGAAATGTTTTATAAATTAAAGGAGCCATATACCTTTTCCCAGAATGGCTTTAAAGTGATTGTTGTCTCAGCATCAGCAAGTGCTTTGTTGAGTTCAACTAGATGTAGAAATGCAGCAGCACGGTTACTGGCAGATAACAAATAGATGAATGATAGAGTCAAATTAAATGCACAAACAGATATACATAACATATCAAGACACCAAAAAGATATATATAGATAAAAATAGAGCATGACAGAGAACCTGAACACATCTCCGCAATCTAAATTACATAAAACATAATTGATTAAATAGCCAATTTCAATCAACACAAGTTGTTTCAGTGATGGTTATGCATACCATGCCCTTTGTCACAATTAATCTAGCACAATTTGCAAGTATTCTGACTCAAGAAAAGGAGATAAAAACCGAGATTAATATTTAATAAAGGTGGAGAAGAAATTGCAAAAAGAAAAAAATTCCAAAAAGCTGGGAGTTGTTAGGAGCCAATAGGTAATCCACACAACTTTGCAGGCAATACATGCGTAACAATTGTCAAGTGTACAAGTAAAAGAGTAAATATTTAAGAGTAAACTACCCGATAGAAGTTCATTGGTTAAATAGCTAACTAGTACTAACCGGTGTTATGTATGTGTTTAAATGTGTAAGCAACCACTTTCTTGTCTATGCCTATGTACATTTGCATTAAGCACATTAAATCGTTTGATAAATTAAAATCCAAAAGCTAGGAACTTCCATGTAATTTCTATACACAATAGATCCATTAATTTGCTTGAAAGTAAGATGCCAATTATGCCATACTCCTTTCAATTCACTTCCTTCTGAAAACTTCTTACGAGATACTATTTGGATTGTTTCAATTCTTTCTTGTATCATTTTCCCTTTTCCTACAACATATTTAAATCAAATGTTCTTCAAAGATTCAAAATTACTAGCTTACACTTTCTTGCAGACAAACAAAGGGGAAAGACAACTTCCAAAAATTAAGGTAAATCCAACCTTTTTTCAATTAGGACTTGAAACATACCTTATGACATACACGAACATAAATATGTATATACCTGTAAAGAAGAGGGTTACAAGGATCCTTCTTGAGGGCCTGAGTGTAGAGAGAAGCAGCTTTGAGATAGTTTCCAGATTTGAAGAATTCATTTCCCTGATCCTTCAACGAAGCTGCTGATTCCGCCATTTTCATTCAAAACATACGATGATCCTTTAGGTTTATGCGTTTTGTTAGATTAGGGTTCCTGAGTGTAGGTTTGGGGTCCTGGTTCTGGAGTGAGAACTGCGGGTTGAGGAGTGGTTTTTCTTGCCCTAGGCCCGAATCCGAGTATTTGTCTTGAATTATCGGACTAATCTTAAAACACCCCCAATATTATTTATTTTTCAAATCAGCCCTTCTATCTTTAGAATCCCGATCCCCTCGTGTCTAGTGATTTTATGTCATGGGGTCCGGGAGGACTGAGGAGTAAATCCGTTTCACTAATCAATTCTTTTTTCCCAAAGCATTAAAGTAGGTGTCCATATATATATATATATATATGTATATGTATTAAAAAATAATTTAAATTTTAATAAATTTTGTAAAAAGAATTTAGTGTGGTTAAATATTTAACAATCATCATAACAAAAATGTGTTAAAATATAAAATTATCACAGAAAATAAAGAAAAATATATATTTATTTATATATTAATTATTAATCTAGAAAAAATTAGGACTTTGTAGATTTTAAATTCCATTTTCAAATTCACCCTTAACAACCCTTATTAGAATTGTGCTCCAGAGGATTCTATGCCTTGTATTGCTAGTGTAAAACAGTGCATCCTCGTGCAACACTATGCCTTGGTCTGGATATAAAAATAACATTTTATCAGAGTTTGTTTCAAAAGAAGATTTGTAGAATATAGCTCATTCCAAAGAAAATGCCACCTTTTGCTTTCTTTATTTTCAAATAAAAAGTGTGTACAAAAGATTTCCACACTGTCTTGTGATAAATAAGAATGCATTTGTTTAATTGATTCCAAAGTTGAAATTGGGAGAAGAAATTTTGAGTTTACAACAATTCAAGTGCCTTTTTAATGAATGACTTGCAAGCAATTATAATTGAAAAATCATATTTCTCATTTTTAGAAATTTTAAAATGGAAACTAGGGATAAAAACAAAAAAAAATGAAAACTGCATAAACAAGTTCTAAATCACCTGTCAATAATATTGATTCCAAAGTTCAAATTCCAATAAATTAGAATACAATTGTTTTCTGTAACTTCTTGGACAAAAGAATGAAAATTAGTGCATGCTGAACAATCTATTAAGTAAACAATTATCCATTAATATTGAACTTTAACACTAACACCATACTAACATTCTAATCATTGGGGCAAGTATAGTTTCCCCCAATGATTGAAACTTGCCATATTAAGTTCGTCAACCAGTATATCATCTTAGAAAAATACAACTTACGTTGATTTGTGAGATTGAAACCAGTCATATTAATTTGATCAGTCATAATTTCACCTGAAAAAGCTTTTTAAGTCGATTGGTAAAGCCCATTTGTATTACATCAAATGGACAAAAACCCTTTAATTAGAATTCTCGACTAGAGAAAATGGTCTAAATAACATTGCTCTTCACCTTAAGTTGAATAGATAGGCTCTTAGGCTGCACCTTCAGGTACCATCTCATTTCCAAGTACAAAAGTTGGCCTACCAATTGCAATTTTAATTCACAGGGCTTGTGAAGTATACTCTTGCAATTATTTAGTGCCCTTCTCGCATATTGCAAACCTGGTCAAAAATAAATTGTATTCGAAGAGATCATACTTTTGGGTGCCACTACGCAAGCTGCTCTGGAGGAAGATTCCTCGGCATATTCCCTCGGAAGAAAATAACGATGCTTGTGCATGTGAGGTGATGAAAATGCCTGGCATGATCGGAAAAAAATGCCAGCAACAGATTATGATATCATGGAATCCGAGGTTAACTGACCAAAGAAATTATGTATGCTAGACAAGAAAGAAATATTTAGAAAACCATCTAAACAAGAGAAACAAACTTATCTGAATCAATGAGTATAAATCTGACCTAGCAATATTAGTTTTTTATTTTTTAAAAAAAAATTAGGAGTTTAAGTTTGAAAGAAACAAATACGTGTAAATACCAACTAAAAAAAATGAATGAGCATAATAATATTATATAAAACCAGTAAAGTCAGAAGGTATAATATAATACCTTCTTGATACTAACAATCGGAGAATATTTATAATCAGTCTCTGTCCTTATCTTAATCCAGAAGGAAAAAAACTCTAACATCCACTTTAGAAGCTTTATGCCATGACTTTACAGCTGTCTCCATTGTTTCACCAGCGAGAGAGAATTTCTTTCCAACACTTTTTAGCTCCATTCTTTTCAGACTGCAAAAAGAGAGACTAACTTTATCTTCTTCATTGGGAATTCTAAAAAGATTCCACCTACTGATGGCACTATAAGGTTCATGGAAATATAGCTGCAACTCTTAACGCTGGTGCCTCGCGAACCATCAGGGCTAAGGTTCGATTACTTTTAAGTGCATATAATTTCTTTAGAGTGAGGTGGGGGAGTGGAAAATATATATATATATATATATATATAGCTGCAACTGTCATACACAAACTCTTGCCTGCATCACAGTGCTCATAGAAATATGAAACCCTTTAAAAATAGAAAGACAATAAATACAAACAATAAGCATCAACAAGTGGGCTGAGCTATCAAAACGTTAAACAGTACACAGAGCAAACATTTTTTCTGTAACCAAATTTATAAAACAACACGTGAGGATATAAACTTAAGGAAATCATTCCTCTTATTTGGATCTCAAAATTCATAGAATTACAAAACCTTAAAAAAGGTTAAGGCAATAAAGACAACATCCACAAGTGAGCTGAGTGATGAAAGACATGTAGGGTCTGTTTAGTTCGATAGAATTTAATGAAGGAAAGTGAAAGTGAATATAAATGAAAGAAAAATTACTTTTTCAATTTTCATTAGGTAAGGATGAATTTTTTTTTTTTTTTTTTTAAGGAAGTTATGGGAAAATATTATTTTGTTAGTTTGAATAGATGAAAAGAAAATGATTGTACTTACCAAAATGGCCTTCTAATTTCAATTATTAAAAAATTAAATAAACTTGTGTCAGATGAATCCTCTTCATATCAAATTCTCTATATCTATTTTTAGCAAGCAAATAGTAAAATAATGAATTATTAAAAATAATAATATTTTAGTGAGGCACCGAGTCATAAGTAACCAAACACCACCCCTTCCCTAACACTAATCCGTATTAATCCACACTAAATCAAATCCAACCTTGCAGATAAGTCACAAACAAAACCCCTGTGAACGTTGGTTCGTCACCAAACATACACAGGCTCCCATGGAGACATACAATAGCCATGTGGTCCCCAAACACACAGAGACTCGCACATAGATATATAATAGCCACGGCCTCCACCCTCACCAAACCCATTCGTCAAACCCTCCCTGACATATAATAGTCATGGTCCCATGGACTCCACCCTCACCGAACCCATTCATCAAACCCTCCTTTACGAGTCCCAATTAAATGCAAAAACCCCTGCAACACCAACACCAACACCAACACCAACACCAACCCTACTAGCCCTAGTTTTCACTCAACACTCTGCTTGTAATGCTCTCAACAAATATGCTATAGGATAATTTATATAGACCTTTTTTATGATTTGCCTTAATTACAGGAATCACTCTTACTGTTTTGAAAATTACACGAACCTCTCCTACTTTTGAAAATATTTTACACGGACCTTCCTTCTCTTAGAAGTAACGACAGTCAACAACGAAAATTGATGACATTATTTACATTTTTTACTAAAATTTTCATAATACCCTTATCCACATATAATTTCATATTTAATTAAGGTAAAAGATATATATATATATATATATATATATATATATATATATAATACTTGATATTATATTTTGAAGCAACCAAGAGCCGGTGGTGCTTCCTGGCTTACCGATAAGGAAGGACCATCAAGAAAGAAGATAGCCTCTTCTGATTCTTTTGTTCTTGTATCAAGCACCGTGGTTACATGGAGATTTTCTTTGAAAAACTCTGTTCCTTGTACATCATCACGAAACCCAATTCATGAACCTGGTCATGAAAAACCCAATTCTGGCAAAATGAATGGTGGCTGTGAACAATTGGGTTTGTGGGTATGACATTTGCGATTAGGTTTGATCTGTGTGATTTGGTTTTTATTTTGGAAATCAAAGTTGCGATTGGGTTTGATCTGTGTGACAGAACCTGGTCATGAAAAACCCAATTCCAATGTGTTATTGTTTTGTTTTGTTTTATATTTAATTTTCTTAAATTAATTTAAGAATTGATCTGATATATATTTTTTACCAAATTGAATGAAAAAGATAAGGATGGAGGATTGTACAATTCTTAAGCCGGAGAAGCAAGAATCGCCGAAAAAGCTTAAATTTTCAACAACAACACACCAGAGGGTCCCCTGCCTAATTCATTGTCATCACTCTTCGGGCTTAAAATTCTCAAATTGTTTTTTAGAAAATAATTTAGATTTTTCTTCTTTGTTGAGTGTTGTGTGTATTTAGGCCACTATTTCCAACAAAGTGGTATTACAGCAAAAGCCAACATAACCAAACCTCTAAAAAATTTAATTTTTTTTTTTTTTTTCTTAATTGGTATTCACACACACATACCTCTTGAACCCTTGACCTCCCTGTAACTTTTACCTAAACAAATGGACCTTTAAAACACTACACTCAGAGCAAATGTATGTAATAAGATATATGACTTAACCGGTAAAAGCATACGTAAAGAAATCATTACTCTTTACCCATGATAAATTACACTCACGAAATCAGATTTCAATATATTCAAGCGTTGTGTCATATCAACATTGGACCTCATGGTCTCCAGGGGTTTGGTAGAGTTGGTAAGGTCTCGGCTTGTGTTCCTCAAGGTTTTCGAACTCGTCCATCTTTATTATTTTCCTGACTTATCTGCTGCTTTTACTATAGGGCCAGGGTTGGCAGTCAGGGGTTTCCCTTGTAACTTCAGCCCGAAGGGAGGTCGCGGCGAGGGTTCCCACGTCAAAAAAATAAAATAAAATAAAATAAAAAAGAAGCTGGACCTCATGTTTTCCACTTCTTGAGCATGCTTTTTATCTCTTGCGAACTGTGAAAGCCTCTTAATTTTATAGTAAACATCAGCACCAGAAAATTGGTTCTTGTCCAGACCTTAGTTAACCGAAATGAAAGAACTTCTATTCTTACATCATCATATTCTTCCATGGCCTCTAACATGCAACCTTTCCTAAAATAACCCTGCAGGT